GTTGGGTGGGGGACTGCTGACAGAACTGGAAACTTTCTTCAGGTGGAGTTGTTTGTTTAGAGATGGAGTCTGGCTCTCTCACTCAGGCTGCAGTGCAGAGACACAATCTTGGCTCACTGCAACCTCTGCCTCCCCCTCTTCAGGCTCAAACAGTTCTCATGACTTAGCCTCCTAAGTAGCTGAGATTAAGTCATGTGCCACCACACCTCCTATTTTTTTTGCAGAGACAGGGATTCACCATGTTGACCAGGCTGGTCTCAAACTACTGACATCAAGTGATCTGCCCACTTTGACCTCCCAAAATGCTGAGATTACAGGCATGAGCCACTGCACCCAGCCCCTTCATGTGGGTTTTGAGGCTTCATTACAATACTAGTTTCCTGTTTCTGCTGCAACAAATTACCACATGCCTAGTGGCTTAAAACAACACAGATGTAGCTGGGCATGGTGGCTCATGCCTGTAATCCTAGCACTTCGGGAGGCTGAGGCAGGGAGATCACCTGAGGTCAGGAGTTCAAGACCAGCCTGACCAACATGGAGACACTACATCTCTACTAAAAAATACAAAAATAGCTGGGTGTGGTAGTGCATGCCTGTAATCTCAGCTACTCAGGAGGCTGAGGCAGGAGAATTGCTTGAACCAGGAAGGCGAAGGTTGTGGTGAGCCAAAATCATGCCATCGCACTCCAGCCTGGGCAAAAAGAGTGGAACTCTGTCTCAAAAACAAACAAACAAACACACACACACACACACACACACACACACACACACACACACACACACAGATGTATTCCCTTACATTTCTGAAGGCCAGAATTCTAAAGTCAGTCCCACTGGCTCAAGGTGGGAGCAGGGCGGATGCTTTCCAAGGCTCTGTAGGAGAATGTGTTTCCTGGCCCTGGAGGCAGTCTGCACTCGTCAGCTTGTGCTGTCCTTGTTGAATGACTCAAGTTTCCTTCTTCCATCACTACGCTTCCCACAGCTCTCCCTCACCTGCTGTGCTCTGCTTTTATAAGGATCCGGGTGAGTACATCAATCCCACTGTGACAAAGCAGAATAATCTTTCCAGCCAAAAATCCTTAACTTCATTATATCTGCAAAACCCCTTTTACCATATGAGGTTATGTTCACCACTTCCTGGGATTAGGTTATGAGCAACTTGGGGGGTCACTATCAGCCTACTACAGGTATGCTGCAAAACTATTTCACCTTCCTGGTGTTTCAGTGATTGGGAGAAAAAGGGTTGGGATTTTTTGCTTTGGGTTTCCTCTTAAACCTGTCTTTTTTTTCTTGTTTTTTCTTTTTTGAGTTGGAGTTGTGCTCTTTTGCACAGGCTGGCCGCTCTCTTGGTTCCCTGCAATGTTTGCCTCCTGGGTTCAAGTGATTCTTCTACCTCAACCTCCTGAGTAGCTGGGACTACAGGTGCCTGCCACCATGCCTAGCTAAGTTTTGTATTTTTGGAGGAGATAGGGGCAAGGAGGGGGTAGTGGAAGGTGGGGAAGGGGACAGAATTTTCTGCTATGTTGCCCTGAGCTCAAAGCAATCCACCTACCTCTGCTCCCAAAGTACTAGGATTACAGGCCTGCATCACCTCACTGGCTGCTGTAAAGTCTTATTTCCACACAGCTGAGACATGTTTTAGGAAGTTTGCTAAAAGATCCCTGGAGACCTTCTCATTGTGGCCTCCCTGTTACTATATTTAATTTGATTGATCTTTTCTGCCCTACAGCTTTTCAGAAATTAAAAGGATAAAAAGATGTACTAAATTTTAAAACTTTTCTTCCAGTCTCCAATTAAACTAATTATAAGAACTACCAAAAAAGTGAAATTTTTTTTCAAAAGCAGTAAAATGATAAGGACTGTTGAGATGTAAAATATTGAAAATAAATCATTATATGCTAGTGTTGATCTGACATAGGGACGTATTATTGAGAATCAAGCTTTGCTTAATTTTCAGAGAAATGGCATGATCTTACCACTGATCTATGTAAACACGTTGAAGAATTATCTGAAAGAAAATATGGTATGTCTAAACTGGAAAAGTCCTGTAATATTTTGTTCATGAGTGTTTACACAGTGGAAACACTGTTCATCTTGTAGTGTCTGCCTAAATATTAGAAACATTCTTTGTTTCTAGATTACTGCAAAGCTAAGGAAAAGTTGTATCTCTTAAATTATCAGTTAGCATTTCTTTCAAACTTTCAGCATGAATATTGGGAATTTATTTACATATTTATTGCAAAGCCCTGGATCTTAGGGATTTAATTAATATATATTTTTAACTAATTGTTTCTCTCTCTCTTTTTCTTTCCCATTCAATTATTTTATTTTATTCTATTTATTTATTTATTTATTTTTTGAGACGCAGTTTTGCTCTCGTTACCTCGGCTGGAGTGCAATGGTGCGATCTCGGCTCACCGCAGCCTCCGCCTCCTGGGTTCAGGCAATTCTCCTGCCTCAGCCTCCTGAGTGGCTGGGATTACAGGCACGCGCCACCATGCCCAGCTAATTTTTGTATTTTTAGTAGAGACGGGGTTTCACCATGTTGACCAGGATGGTCTCGATCTCTTGACCTCGTGATCCA